AAAAAAAAAAAAAAAAAAAAAAAAAAAAAATTAAATATAAGCTTTGGAAAGAAAGAAACCAAACTGTCACCATTCACAAACAACAAAGTTTCTATAAAGAAACTTCTCCCAAAATCTGTAGACAAATTATAATTAATTAAAGTTTAGTAAGATGGCTATTTGTAAACTCAATGCACGAAAGTCCTTCTATTTCTACAGAGTATTTCTATTTCTTCTATTTTAAACAAATAGTTTAAAAATATAATTTTAAATTGATATTTATAATAGGAACAAAAATTATAAGGCCTCTATGAATATATCTAACAAAGACGTGCAAGATCTTTATCAAGAAAGATATAAAACTATAGAAAAACACTAGGTCTCCTGGGTGGCTCTGTCGGTTAAGCATCCAACTCTTGATTTCGGCTCAGGTCATGATCTCATAGTTGGTGAGATCAAGCCCCTTGTTGGGCTCTACACTGATAGCAGGGAGCCTGCTTGGGATTCTCTCTCTCCCTCTCTCTCTGCCCCTCTCCGGCTCACACACACATGTGCTTTCTCTCTCACTCTCTCTCAAAATAAATAAACTTTTAAAGTAAGGGAAAAAAAGGGGAAATATTAAAGAAGACCTAATATTAAAGAAGACCGAAATTTTAAGAGGTACATAATGCTCATACATATAAAAAGTACTTAGTAAAGATATCAATTCTTCCAAATGGATCTACATATCCAATTGAATTCTGTTGAACATAATTCTTCATGGAACTTGGCAAGAAAATTCTAAAATTTCTATGGAAGGGTTAAGAGCCATGAATATTAATACAATCCTAAGGAAGATGAATACGATGAGTAAATTTGTCCTAGAAGATACCAAAACTTACATAAAGATATGAAATGATGAGAGTGAGTATTGTATTAGTGTCAGAAAAAATTAAATCAATAAATGGAACAGACAAAAAAGCTCAGAGGCAAAACCATACATTTGGGGAATTTGATGAGACTAAATTGCCTTTTTAGAACAGTTGAGAAAGAATTACTATTTACTAAATCAGTGATTCTGAAACTTCCTTAATGATAAGAATTATCTGAATATCCCAATTACCTGGAAATTCTGACTCAGTAGACTTGCATTGTAGTCAAGGAATCTATATTTTTAAAAGAATTACAGGGTTGTTTTTAATTGTTTTTAATTTGTATTTATTATTTTGAGAGAGAGAGAGAGAGAGAGCGTGAACAGGGGAGGGGCAGGGAGAGGGAGCCACAGAATCCGAAGCAGGCTCCAGGCTCTGAGCTGTCAGCACAGAGCCCAACAGTGGACCATGAGATCATGACCTGAGCCAAGGTCAGATACTTAACCGACTGAGCCACCCAGGTGCCCCTGGATAAAGCACTTCTAAATTAAATCTTCCCTTGCTCAAAGAACATCGTAGGCAAGCTACGAAAAGATACTTGAACATATACTATCAACCAACTGGATGTTTGTACAAAGATGTATAAGAATGTCATGGCAACATTGTTTATATTAGCAAACATCAAGAAATACAACCCCAAAATGTCTGTAAATTAAAGAACAAACAAATAAATGGTGACTGATTCATGCAATGGAATGAATGTGAAATTGATGAAGTACAGTTTCTGTTACCAATTCAGATGAATGTCTAAAGCATAGTGTTGAATGAAAACTGCTACATACAAATAATATATACATAGGTAACAATTCATAATAGTGTATGCTCTTTGGGGAAAAGAAAATTTTATGATTGGGTAAGGGCACAGTGGAGTTTCAAAAGTATTGGAAAAGTATTTCTTAAGTAGGGTGTTAGACAAAATGTATATTTGTTTTCTTATCATTATCTATAGTTTACTTTCATTGAGTATATGCTTTAAAGCATAAGTATTCCACAATGCAAACATACATTCAAAAATACTTGCTGATTGACAGATTTATAAGGTGAAGTGAAACACTACACCAAGAACCAGGATAGTTTGTAACTACCAACTACTACCTCTGGATAAGCTATCCTGCAGTCTGGCCCTTGGATACGTGCATAGTGCAGCCCTCATTCCTGACCATAAGCAGAACAAGATGGACGGGCATGTTACCAATTCAATTGCCCAATGAAAGGGATTGCCCATGTGCTCTGTAGCTGGTCCAAAGCAAGAAGGAAGCAGGAAGCAGGTCAGAGTTTGTATTTTCAAGTTAAAGAAGAGAGGGGTTGAATCAGGAAAGGGCCGTCCCTGGGGCATCCCTTACCTTCTCACAGTACCAGCCTCTGTTGACGCCTACGTTGCCGTGTCCGATGGAGACCCGACTCAGGGGGCTAAGGAGGACAGCCAACTCGATGTGGAAGATGTCTGTGCGGCCACGGTCAAACACACCGCCTTCCAAGAAGATTTTCCCACTGTTCTTATTCCCTCTGGCCCCATACATAACCAAGTAGATTTTGGATTTGGTCCCGGCACCCCGGACATCCCCAGTGAAGACGGTGACAATATATGAAATAGCTGGTGTGGAAGCAACAGGGAAGGAGAAAGTTAGTGCCAGCTGATTACAAAATCCCACCCAAGTCTCCCCTCCCTGGCTACCGCCTCCCTAGGCCCTCCCTCTTCCACGCTTCCTCATTCCCCCCTCGTCCTCCTTCCCCAGATGACCTCCAGTGCGCCTCTCCGCTTTGTGCTCTTTTTCAGTTTGTGTGTCAATGTATCTGAGTTTAGGAATAAACTGCAGGTATTACCCTAAGAAGCTGCCAGCCCTGATTACAAGAAACTAACAGAGAGAAGGAGGAATTTGAGTTGGCTAAGAATAGTACTTGTTATTAATGTTAATTACCATGTGCATATTATTAATAGCTGCCGGACGAATTCTGTTATGTCTGATTTAATTATAAGAGTCAACTCCATTAATGGAGATTTATATTCGGGGCTAGCTGATTCATTTCGCTTGCTCTTTTGCTCATAAGTTAAAAAGATAACTTTTAATAGAGGGCACTCATGTCTGAGCCTGACGTGGTGGGTTGAGGAAAGAGTGAGGGAAGGAGAGCACATTGTGGTCAGGCCATTTGAGGTTTTGGTCAGTCGGGAGGTGAGACGAGGACATGAAGTTCTGGGCAAGAGCCAGCAAAGGGAGATTAAGCTGTGACGTGGGACTGAGTAAGAGAAAACACCAAAGACCAGCATCTGGACAGGAAACTCTGCTCAGGTCTGGCCTCCCTCCATTTTGCTCTGGGGTCTAAGGCAATGGTGTACAGGCACACACCCCTCCACCCCACCCCCTGCCTCACCCCTAGCCCCGGACCCAGGGAAATGAAAATCCTGAAAGTCTTTTGGAGCTAGCCACATGCAGCTACGGGATGCCTGATTCATTGAAGCGTTTACACCTTCCTTTGTTCAACAAACGCTGACTGAGTGCTTACTACATGCAAGGCCTCAGGGAGACTAGAAGATGAACAAATGGTGTCTCCAGCTCTGTTTCTCCAAAACACACCCAGTACGTACTCCCATGGCCCAGGCTACCAGTAATTCCCAGCCTTTGACAGACGTTTCTCCTTCTCCTCTACCACTGGAGGTCAGTAAGAGTAACATGGTTAAAGGGGTCAGAGCAGACCCATTCTGGGATCTGGTTTTGTTTTGTTTTGTTTTGTTTTAAGTAGGCTTCATGCCCAGTGCAGAGCCCAACACCGGGCTTGAACTCACGACCCTGAGATTAAGACCTGAGCTGAGATCAAGAGTCCGATGCTTAACCAACTGAGCCACCCAGGCGCCCCTCCTATCTGTTTCTGAGTAAATAACACGCAAGCTTCAGTTACAAATAACGTGCAAGGCTGGAAAGTGCTGGAGCAGAGGAACGTGTGATTTCCTAACTGATAGCAGTCAAGGTCTGCCCAAGTGTCTGGTGCAAAGGAAGGGAGGGAGTGCCTGTCTACAGGAAGGAGGGAGGGCTCAGAGGGAGTGACAGGGAGCAGGAATTTGAGGAGTGTAGAGAAGAGAAATGGCATTACAGGCTGAGGAGAAAGATATTCTAAAGATAAAGTGAGAGAAAGAGTAAGGCCAACAGCTCAGGGAGGGGCGGGGGAAGGCACGGATGAGGAGAGGGCCAGGCAAGGGGAGAGAAGCTCCCTCCCCCCCCGCCCCCCAGCAGAAGCAGAAGACAAGTGGATGAGGCAGAAGGAGGGCAAAGGGGGCGTAGGTTCAGGAAAGAGCAAAGGTGTGCTGATGAGGTGGAGCGAGACAGGTGAGCATCTGGAAGTGAGACAAGAAGTTGGAAGATTCAGCTGACACGTATGTTGCAGCCAAACCATGAAGCAGTTTGCATACTGTGCCCCAGGACTTGGACCTCTTCTCTGTGCAGTGCTAAGCAACAGGATGCTGTGCAGCAGAGCACGTTCTCAGATGGGCACATGCACGACACTGATGTTCCGGAACATCCACGAACTCCCGTGCTGGGAGGTGCGGGTTTTCTGTGGAATCCACACAGGGTGGAGACTAAGGTGGCAGCCCGAATCCGGATCTGTCACTTGCCAGCTGCGTGACCTTGGACAGGTCTCTCAATGCCTATGTGACTCAGTTTGCTCCTCTGTGAAATGGAAATGATAACAGTTTCTATATTACGGGGTCCTTGTGAGGATTAAAGGGGACAAAACGGGTCAAGTGCCTAGGGTGCCTGGCATACAGTAAGCACGCAATAGTAAGAGGAGCTAAGAGTAAATCCACACCCTCATCCACTGTGAACAGGAGTTCACATTCCAGCTTCACCCAGTGGCTAATCTCTTCTGCCCTGAAAGTTAGTATCTGCTCAGGGGCACCTCCCCCGCCTCCTCTGGCATCAGCAGAGCCTCAGGCTCCAGCACAAAGGGACGGAACACTTTCAAGAGCAGGAGGAGTGGCTGGCTCCTGCTGGATCACAGGCCTCCAGGCCCACCAAGGAGAACACTGAACCTCAGGCAGAAAGTGAAATACCAGCCAATCGTGCTTCCCCTTTCTCAGTTCTACCTGTGGCCTCAGCTCCGCCCACTAAGATATCCCTTTGGATTTTGCCGTCGTCTTCATCCAAGGCCAGCCAGCGGTTAAGAGGGAAGTCATATTTTCTCTTGTTCCCAATATCTTCAATGACAATCTGGGAAGGAGAAGAGAGGGCGGGGACGGCAAGGGTCACTAACAGCGCACCCGGTGATCGAATACCTCCATCACTTGAATGCACTCTAAGAATACACTCTCACCTTCTTTGTGGCCCAGGGAAAGCTTAGCACAAGCACGTGCCTTTTTTTGCAAAGCACTGAGAGGCACATGGGGACGACTGGCAAGTACCTCCTACTTGAATGACTGAGCCACTGTTCCCTCCTCTGCTGCAGATCATTTTCACAACTAAGTGCAGGAAATTTGGCAGGATGTGCCCTGTGAGACCCGGGTGTGAAGCCTGTATTTACAGACTGCAACGAGAGCATTGCCTTCCCCACCTGCTGAAGCCTGGGACCCTACCCTCGGTGAGAAGCCGAGTCCACACAAGGAGAATTACAAGCCCCAAATGAGGCACACAGAATCCCAGGGGCTGGTGATCAGGTCAGAAAACATCAGCCACTGATAGCGAGGATAATGGAAGTGGCTGTCTACAAAGCCTCCCACAGGGCACTCACATGTGGGCCAGGCTGGCGAGGCTGAGATAAGAATGTCTTTCAGAGTTTACCAAGGAGCTGAAAGGCCCTTTCAAGCGTGCCAGGAACCCAACTGAAAACCCACTCTAAGATAAGCAGACTCATCAATAACTAGAATCTCTCCCCCAGTTGTAGCCCTGTGAAGGCAGAAGCATCTGGAGACAGGGTGAGTTGGAAAGTGAAAGTGTCTGCCCAGGTGTTCCCAAGATTGCCCAAGGGCGGCGCGGGGGGGGGGGGGGGGGGGGGGGGGGTGGCGATTTCAATGAAAGACTCCCTTCCTAAGATCAAAATGTCTGCAGTGTGGAAACAGGGCACACACTGGGCTGCCTGAAGCCATCTCACCCTATTCTAATCCCGTTTTCAAAAAAAGAACTTTCTGGGCTAAGAGCTGTTTTCCCAAGGACACCACCCACTAGGGAAAAGCCGGTGGCCTGAACCAGTGACTGGAAGCCACTGTCCTCCCAGCCTTCTCTCCTCAGATATATCCAGCATTCAGGCTTTGGGTTATAAATCAGTCCCTTGTGAGTTTGGTTGGTGTGAGTCACCCTTCAGAGCCTGCTGATTTGATGGAGTGTCTGTACTTTTAAAGCTGAGCACCTGGAGGCCACTGTGGCACAGGCCAGAGAGGGTTCTGCTGTCAAAGTCCAGACTCTCACAACATTTCTATCTGCACATTTCTCGCTGGCTTTCATCTCCATGTTAGGGGGAGACTGGGGAGTCAATGACAAAGGTCTGAGGCTTCAGCCCGCCTCCTAACCCCCTTTACTCTGGCTCCCACAAAATTGGAAAGGCAGAGTGAAGGAAAACAGGACTTCGTTTATCAGAGAAGCTATCAAGCCTACTAATAAACCTTGGCATACAGATTCACCATCTCTGTCTTTCAGTGTTCACAGACTAGCGTACCAGCCACGGTTTCAAGAGCGAGAACACCACCCTCACAGCTCATCATCAATACCACCCTCACAGTTGTCATCAATAAAGGGCCCCCTACTGGCCTGGTGTCTGATGGAAATTCCTCACCTGAGAAGTTTAGCTAATCTGAGAAATAGAACGTGTATCATTAACTACCTCTACAAGACAAAACTAGCTGAGCCACGAAGGAAAGAGACAATATTTGAATACATTTTTGGAAAAATTAGATTTTCCAAAATACTAAATACAAAGAAGGGCCAAGAGAGATGATGAGAGGTTAAATACTGGTGCAGAAAGTATCAGAGTCCATGAACAGGTCTTAAATTTTTCTAGGGGTGCCTGGGTGAAGTGTCCGACTTCAGCTCCGGTCATGATCTTGCGTGGCTCATGAGTCTGAGCCCTGCATCAGGCTCTGTGCCAACAGCTCAGCTCGGAGCTGGGAGACTGCTTGGGATTCTCTGTCTCCCTCTCTCTCTTTCCCTCCCTTGCTTTGTCTCTCTCTCTCTCTCAAAAATAAACATTAAAAAAATTATAAAAAATTGAAAAAAACCTTTTCTAGATGCATATTAAAATATGTAAACAATTATTCATCAAAACTTTTGGCCCCAAGGTCTACAAGATGAGGCTGGAGGAAGCTGGCTCCCGGGGAGCAGGGTATCTGGGAGCACGTCTGGTAGCAGACGGTGATCCTTAAGTGGGCAGGAGCAGAGAAGCGGAGGCAGGGAGGGAAATGACCACGCGC